ATCTCTAGGCAATGTTATGAGAGTGACATGAACTTTTGAAACAGAAAGAAACCATTCATAGTTAAATCCTTAAGTTTGTCGGTCAATTTTAAATTTGTTTTCTTTGACATCAAAGACTATTTAGCTATAAAAGATCACCTGCCACAAAGGGCTCGACCATGTATTTATTGACCTGAGGCAAAAACCTTTATATTGTAATTTAGATTTTAGAAAATGCTGGAACAGAAGAATAGATATTTTCTTCTCATTCATAAGTGGCTATAAATAGTGGCCTTTTGTTGGTCAGAATAAGTCAAGCAGAGACCATTTCTTTCATGACCAGGGAGACACAGGGTTATTGGATTCTGTTCTATGATTATGGCTGTGCCCACTTAAACTAGTAGCCCTTGCCTGGGCTGGTGTGGCTCAGGGGGTTGAGCGCTGGCCTGTGAACCAAAATGTCATGGTTTGATTCCTGGTCAGGGCACATGCCTGGGTTGTGGGCCAGGTCCCCAGTTGGGGATGTGTGAGAGACAACCAATCCATGTATCTCTTGCTCATTGATGTTTCTCTCCCTTTTGTTCTCCCTCCCTTCCTGTCTCTCTAAATTAAATAAATAAAATCTTAAAAAAACAAACAAACTAGTGCAGTCCTTGAAACATTTGTGTGGAAGTTCAAAGTTAGATTTAAACAAAACTAATTAAATTCATATTAGATTTCAAAATTGGCTATTTATACTAGAAATATCTAGTAAAAGTCAATTGGTTAATGTTTATTTGTAAAAAAGATGGTTACGTATGTGAAGTTATTTTAGTACAGACTGTAGTCATCTTTGCAAGGTAGTGTAGGACCATAAAAATAATCAAGCAAGCTCGTGCAAAATTATCTTAATAATCAATGGATTATTAAGTTCCATGACCTTGAAAAAACTTTTTGTCAAAACATTGAAACTCTTTTCCTGTAGGGTCTAAATGTATAGGAAAGTAAAAAAATAGTAAAGCTAATATTTATTTAGTGCCTTGTAATTTAAAATGTTAGAAACATTGAGAATTAAAGCATTGTATTTCTTCAAGGAGAACTTACCAAGAGTAGTCTGATCATGTTCACTTTCTTCTCATTGTATAACTTATGATACGGAGGATTTTTTTCCCTTGCCTTTGTCGGTTGTCATACTCCTTTCCAAGTCAGGGTCAGCTGCCAGCGTGTTACCTGTGGGCTCTCAGAGTCATAAGGTATCTGGGAGTTCCTTTAACGTTACTTCCTCTGGCACGTCGCCATCCTTTTCACCACATCCACTTCCCAATTTCATTTCCGGTGTTGCCACTCATTATTTTTTTGCTGTGCTTTTTTTTTGTTGTTGTTGTTGTTGACCCTTTGAATTATCCACTTCCATGAAATGTTACGTGATTTTATCCCCGAGAGGTGAGGAGGCAACGCCACTACACGTTTCCTGTCTGTGCGTGAACTGAGAACAGATGTGCAGGGATCACTCACCAGCGGCTTTGAAGGAAGCGACATGATTGGTTGCTGATCACGATAAACATCTGTTATTCGCGCAGTGTTTATGGACCAAAGAGCTAGCAGGAAAGTTTGTGCTTTATGCAATTACTCACACTTAATACACCGTGGCAACTGAAGTTTGAACCATGTTGTTGGGGGACTGGTTGTTATTTAACTAAATTGCGGAAACTGAAATTCATGCACATTGGAACCATGCAAAGCGAGTGGTGCCTATATTCCAGTTATAAATTATTTGTAGTACATTTAAATCTTGGCCTGGTTCCCCTCGCCCATGACACATCGAATCCGCCCAGAGTAGCCAAGTTGTGGTGTAGAAATCCAGCTCCAAGCTGAAGTGGGAGTTAGGAAGTCTTCGACTCCACCTTGGAGTCCGCTTTGCCTCGTCTCTTTGCCTGCACCCCGGAGTACATCGGGCACTGCACAGAGCTTGTTTCGGAGCCCATTCAGCATGGGTAGTCTGGGCTTGGGCTGCCTACACAGACATTGGGCATGGTTTCTGTGTGGTCACCTTGGTCATTTTTTTTCCTGACTCTCTTGCCTCCCCCATGGTCTCCCCTCTTCCTTGGCCTGCTCTTTACTTTGGCCTGCGCCCCATTTCCAAGTTGTACTGATTCTCCCTCCACCATTATCGTACTTCATGTTTCTTTCAGTTCTTGTTGCCATTGTCCTAATCCATGTGTTTCTCAACTTGGATTTTAATGATTTTGATGCTCTCCTAACTGGCTTCTCGACCCAGTCACTCCCTGTCCCAACCAGTCTCCCCTTCCGTCACAAGTCATGTTCCTGGAAGACTTTCAGCCTTGTTTAATCCTGTCCTTGGAGCCTCCAAAATAACTTCCTAATTAAAAAATAAAACCCAAACTTTTATATTGGGCCTTTATCCCTGGTCTGACTCAAGCCGACATTTTCTAGTTTGTCATTGACCCCTCCCTCCCTTTAAGAACTGGGGATTTCAGCCAGACTTTCTTGTTGCCTCCTAAATATGCCTCCCTCCCTCTATTTTGTCCTCCTAGGATGCATTCTTTGTTTTTTTCGAATCTTGCCCAGTTTCAAAGACTTACCCTAAAGGATCCCACCTATAAAATCTGTCTTGACTTAACAGAAATGACTGTCCTGTCCTCTGAAGTTCCACAGGGTTTATAGTTTATATTTTTTCAACTGTTGCTTACTTGCTGATCTGTTTTCAGTTATCATGTGTTATTATCTAATCTCCCCAGTTAGCTCTTATTTCTTTTTGTTTTTTAAGTGCTTTGAGAGAAAGAGTGAAGGGGATGGGTGGAGGGAGGAGGGAGGTGGGGGAAGGGGAGAGAGAGACATCAATTTTGTTGTTCCACTTATTTATGCATTCATGGGTTGATTCCTGTATATGCCCTGATCGGCGATTGAACCTACAACCTGGGTGTATTGGGACGGTGCTGTAACCAACTGAGCTACCCAGCCAGGGCCAGCTCTTACATTCCTGAGGGCTGGGACTGAATCTTCTGTAGTACCTCAAATGGTATTTGAAAGTGGTAGGCATAAATTTTTCATCCAGTATTTTTTTGAGCAGCAGCATTTATCCTAGAAGCTAAGTTACATGCTAGGGGTAAACAAGACAAGGTAATGCCCCTGACCTCACAGAGCTCTAGTTGAATGAGGTGTACAGAAAGGTTGTGAGACACTTGTAATGCAGTAAGCTCAGTGGCATGATGAGCAGTTAATGAGGGTCCGTGGAAACGCAGATAGGCACCAAACCTAGATGAGGGGCAGTGGGCAGTGCTTCTAGAAGAAGTGAGGTTTAAGCAGGGTCTAAGAGATAAATAAGAGTTCGCCAGGTGAGGGCGCCTGAACAGACTGAGTGTTCCAGGTCAGGGATACAGTGTGGATAAAGCTTGAGTGGGGGAAGGGGGCCTTACGCCCTGAGGAACTGAGTAAAGCTCCATGTAGCTGGATTGTAGGGAATGACGTGAGATTCCTAAGTGATGAGGTTTCAGAGGGCACAGGGACCCTGTGATGGGAAAGAAGTGCACACATATGATGGGTGTGTAGAATGGAGAACTTCCAGGGAGGGATGTTTGGATGGGTGAAGGGATAGATAGCACTGCACTCAGGTTTCTGTTAAGGACCCCTCCTCAGTGAATGGGGACATTAGGGGGAAGAGGATGAGTTAATGTTTTGGACATTTCAAGTTTGAGATGTCTGTGGAATATGTATATGGAGATACATAGTAGTAGATGGTTGGCAGCACGTCAGACATCCCTTACTAGGAAGTAGAGATTTGGAAGATGTCAGCATAGGACAGGGCAAAATCGTAGAGGAAGACTGTATACAGTGAGTAAAAAAGAGGATTTTAAGACCCAATTTTAAAGAGCCGGTGTTAAAGGACAAGCAAAGAGTGGATTCTGCAAAGAACACTAAGATAGACTGGGCAAAGAGGAGGGGGCAGAATAGATGAGCCAGACGTTGTGGAAACCAAGGGAAGACCGAAATCCGTCCTTTTGATTTAGCAACACGGAGACGGTTAGTGACCTTAGGAAGAGCAGTGTTCGTGGCAGAGGGGTGGGGTGGGGACCACCACCCGGCCATGCTAGATTGCAATGCGTGGAGAAGACAGTGGACAGACAGTTTGATCATGGAGGAGAGGATTTAAACGCAGTAGCAAATGGAAGGAGATGGAGTTGAGGGTTTTTAATTTTTTAAGCTGGTGGAAAACTGCTCTTGTTTAAAGGCCGATGGGAAGAATTCATTAGTGATAAAGAGTTTGGCCACAAGCTGAATTTCATCAGAATGTAAAACTCCTCTTAAAATTCTTTACCCAATGTGGCCTTTTATCTTCTGGTATTCTAAATAAAATTCCAAACTACTGATCACTCTGCACCTTCTAGTTTCACTGTGGTCTTGTCATCCCAAAGAGATTGTGAATTCTGGCAAAGCAGGGCTCAAACTGTGCCACTCCCATATGATGGAGCAGCACTTAGTGTGTTTCAGATTACGTTCCCAACAGAGACTATTTTTAAGTATCCTCATTTGTTACCCTGTTTATTCTTTGAAGAAGTATTTAATGTCCACTGTGTACCAGGCCTTATTTTAGGTTCTAAGGATCGAGAGGTCACTAAGCCAGACATATCTTTTTTTTCTCAAGGATTTATAATCTAAGGAGACTGCTAATAAATAAGGAATTAAGTAGGAGAAAGTAATTACAGAACGCAAGAGATACTGGAAAGGACGCTGTGATAGATGACAGCCCTGAGTGGCTCCTTTGTACATGCCTTTTCCCAGGAGTTCGTTCCGTTGTTGAGGGGGGACACCACAGGCCAACGGAGAGTTAAAGACTCAGGAGGGAAAGAAAAAGATCGTGAATAATAGAGACTTTTTTTTTCCGTAGTGTAGTTAGTTCTTTGTTCACTGATTCAAAAGTCAGTCGAACTATGATGGCTGTAATGGGGCCGTGTGTTTTGGGAGTTGTTACTTAGCATTTGAGAAACTAACCAATTCTCCTCAATTTCTCTTTTCCCTTTCAGTAATTTGCCATCTTCCATGTATGAATGGTGGCCAGTGCAGCTCGAGGGACAAATGCCAGTGCCCGCCGAATTTCACAGGGAAGCTCTGTCAGATCCCGGTCCACGGTGCCAGCATGCCCAAACTTTATCAGCATTCCCAGCCGCCGGGCAAGGCCTTGGGAACGCACGTCGTCCACTCCACACATACCTTGCCTCTGACCATGAATGGTCAGCAAGGAGTCAAAGGTAAGCATATTATTTTGACTTTGCCAGATTGCCAGACCTCTGCTGACCTGCCAGACTCATAGAGAAGCCAAGTATCTGCAGATGGCCAGGGCTGGTGTTAGAACAGAAAGGAGCATGTGATGTGTGGCCTGAGAAATGACAGCGGGGACAGAATGTGGGCCCAGGTATGCGGCTGCAGTGCTTACGAGGCCGTGGAGATTTGGTATCTAAGAAATGGAAACAACAAAGGAGCCCGGCCTCCTCTGACGCCTCTGAGCACCGAGAGCTGGTGAGGTGCCTGCCCCTGCTCTGGCCGGGCCCGGGGACTGGGAAGACACACAGCGAGTGTTCCGGCCCTGCCGGCGTTAAAGCACCAGTGACCACGCCATTCCTGCAGTGGATCCCACGTCTACGCAGTTGTTAAAGAGTGCTTGGTTTTAGTTCTGAACGGTCACTGAACCTCCCCGGGCTTTGATTTATTCATCTGCAGAGGAAGGTAAACTAGGTCACTTGGAGCTCAGAAATTCTATGACTCACTCATTCTTTTAACCCTGGCACTTCTAACAGGCGCGATTTTTTTTTAAGGGGTCAGAGAGTGTTACTGGCTGTTATTCTTTAGAACCCGAATATTCGCCTCAGAGGATGAAATTTTGTTTGAAAACGGCACAAAATAAACCTTGTTACAGATATAAAATATCACACTGTGATATTTTGTGTTTGTGTCCCAGTATGCACCAAAGTGTATCTACAATGTGTTATTTAAGCGTTAGAGAATTGTGCTTTATGAAATTATGTTTCCTTTTTGCGTAGAAAGATATATCCTACAACTTTTACAATAGAGACTTCATGAGAAATTAAAAAATAATCCAATTCCTGAGTCTTCATTGCTATCATTTGATCAAATGTACCTCCCTATGGCCACAAGCTGCACGAATTTAATAGTTTCATTAAAAAATATTTTTACCTTATGAATATGTTACTTGAGAGGTTTGAATTTCTCTTTATAATTAGTTTAGTTTTTAAAATATATAAATTCAGGTTTAATTTTTAAGTGTACCCTTTTATTCTCACTGATGTTGATGGCTGTGCAGCAAATATATGTATACGGTCCGTATGTATAATTTAGCCTGTGTACAACATATGTGCATGTCAGTGTGGGTGTGTACGCGTGAAATTTACTCTCATGCTGACTCACTTGTGAATTGTTCACGACTGACAAGTTTTCCTCCCAATCCGTTTTAGTGAAGTTTCCTCCCAACATAGTCAACATCCACGTGAAGCACCCTCCTGAGGCTTCGGTCCAGATCCATCAGGTTTCACGAATCGATGGCCCAACGGGCCAGAAGGCGAAAGAAGGCCAGCCAGGCCAGTCCCAGATCTCCTACCAAGGGCACCCCGTCCAGAAGAGCCAGACCGTCCAGAAGAGCCAGACCGTCCAGAAGACCCAGACCGTGCATTCCACGTACTCCCACCAGCAAGTCATCCCTCACGTCTACCCCGTGGCCGCGAAGACCCAGCTTGGCCGGTGCTTCCAGGAAACCGTCGGGTCACAGGTGAGCCGCGCTGCCCAGCCTGTGTGTTCGCTTTCTAGAAAAGGGCTCATTTTCACAGGAAAGCCAGGCGTGGTGAAATGGTTTTCTGTGGAAGGAGTAGGCACACTGGCCCGCGGGCCTGTTTTTGTAAATAAAGTTTGATCGGAACACAGCCACACCCAGTCATTTGCATATTGCCTGCCCTGCTTTCTTGGTCTGGGCGGTAGAATTACTTTGTCTCAAGGAGATCATGTGATCTGTAAACCCTAAAATACGGTTGGCAAAGCCCTTCACAGAAAAAACTTGCCAACTGCTGATCTATGAATAATTTTAAGTGGTGAATTTCCCAAAATGCTGCTGGAAGGCCGTGATTATCATTTATGTTTTTCGGTTAAAGTGATCTGTGGATTCTGCAAAGTGTTCAAAATACTTCAGCCTTTTTGCAATAGTTACAGGTGGATAGGTATAGTTGAGTTTTGAATGAAATCAGAGTTTGTCATCTTTTTTTCCTTATGAAAAATCATAACTAGAATGGCAATAACTGAGTAGTTTCAAGTGCAGAGTGAGATGTTTTAAATATCTCTGGATTTGCATGTAACATTAGGCCTATATCTGTTTCGTAAAGAAGGAGGAAGGCCACTTTTTCTTTAAAACTCATCCTTGGAAGTGCATAGTGGAGGCAACAAAAGTACTGGCTCTTTTACCCGAACCACTTGGTGCGACCCACTTTGGGGTTATGTGATAATGACCTAGCTTGGTCCTGTGGTTCTCATCCTGTCATTTGATTCTGGTTTCAGCCTCATGTAAAAAGAGTAGATGATGTGCATGTATTATACCTCTGCCCCTACCTGAATTTTGAAAGAAATATTGTGTGTGTGAAACATTTTGGGGTAGTAAGAAACCATCATTATTGCTTTAGAAACCTGGAAGATACTTTCAGGTACTGGGCAGGTCTGTGGTAGGCCTCTCACCTTTCTCCCAGGGGAGAAGGCGGAGCTGGTTCGTAGACCTGCATGGACGAGCACCCACGTGCAGTCAGAAGATCTTGGCTAGAGCCGTGGGCCCAGGACTTGGTGGCGGGGAATCAGCTTTCTTATCTGTATGGTGGAGACAAGAATATGGGGCTTTATTAAGATTAGACGAGGTAACATGAGCATTGCTTTCCAAATGTTATAGAAGTATGCAAATATCTACTTAGAAGACACCCATCTATCTGTAGTGTCAAACTTACAAATAGTCAGAGTAGGTGATTACTTGCTTCGCATAATTCCAGTAAGACAGGCAAAGCTTGATCTCCCCAAACACAACCTTTGTCTGCCTGCGGAGACTTGAAATGGCTCCCAAACTTGCCACAGCTTTTCGTTTGTCAGTTGAAGACCCAAGTTTAAGCAAACACTTCTGGGAGAAGGAACAGCATCAGTTGAAATTTAGCTTAGAGCTAAAGTCTGGATTCTTGTGCTGATAGCAGCTTGTTATAGGGGCAGTGGGACTGAAGATGAACTTTATACTCTTCACAGTTTTGCCCTCGACCAGCCTTGGAGAGAGAGGATGGATTTGGTGCCATTTGCATTGTTTAGTCATTCCAGCTGAGGCTGGTCATGAGACAGGAAAAAGCAGATCCTTTTAAAACTGTGTGCCCAGTGCCTTTCTCCCCAGTTTCCAAGTTGGAACACAGATGAAAAAAAAAAAAAAAGCAAGAAAATGAAGTATTCGCAAACTTGTTATTCTTGTGTAATATTGGGCAGATGATTGCTAACTAAAAAAGATTTAAAAATGATTTACTTTTAAGCCTAAGATGGACTATATAATCAAAATGAATTGGCTAATTGGTGGAGTTACTTGGGTAATTCAGATTCGGTGGGATACTTGTGCCTTATCTGCGTGCCTCTCTCTCTGACTTTTAGTCTGGATGGTGCAGACAGTGACCTCTATTCTTAATTCTTTTTGCATGTGTCGTCCCTGACAAGAAGCTGCAGAGTAAGGCCTGTTGTCAGAAAACATCCTCAGTAGACACACAGTGTACATCCTCAGTTTGCCTTCTTGTTGGTGAGACACGTTGCTGGGTACCTCTAATTGCCCAGTTGATTAGTCCAATTAGGATGACCCAGGCATTAAAAAAATGTATCCATGGTGCATAGTTAATAGTATGTAAATTATATCCTACAGAGATGTTTGCAAACATTTGTGCTTTCTTGCTGTGGCTGGCTCATATACACAGCTGCAGGGGGAGGTATAGGTAGATTTTAAATAAATGGTAAAAACAACTGCATAAGTGCTCAATAGTGCTTTGCTCATGGCAATAGTCTTTATTAGCTGCAGATTTCGACTGTTGAGACTTTTATGCCATAGAGGTGTCGGTAAGCATCCACGTTTATGCATTGCAGTAAGAGAGCACATACAAAACAAATCCAGCAGAAATAGCCCTGTTTCTGTGCACATTCTAATAGTTAGGCAGTCAGCTGGGGGTTGAGAACCCAGCATGAACTGTGGTTAATGTATTTAAATTCAGGGAAGCTCCGTAGAGTAGAATTTCATGAACTGCTTGGATGATGGAGGAAAATGGGTGATGGGTTAGGAAAGCAAACTCCTAGAGAAGAGGGGGAGAACAGTGAAACAGAGGAAAGAGAACTTGGCGAGAAACGGGCGAGGGAGAAGTGTCCGTGAGACTGGAGACGTGTGACAGCCCGGGACCCCTGGCAGGTGTTTGTACAGACGCGAGGCCTCTTAAGCCCGAGGCCCGGTGCCAGCAGAGTGACTCGGTGTCAAAGAACAAGGGGTGCGAAGCCCGCTTGATCAAGTCATCCAACTCAGAGTCATCAAAAGTGGGGCAACCAGCGTTTTGTGCCTCCTGAGGTGATATAGTACAAAGTTTGCACATCACCCTAAAAGTGTTTTGGCCCAAAATGTTCAACCTGAATCTAATCAAGCCTTTGTACTTAACCTCCAGCTTCTAGGGAACCCCGAGGGTAAAGACACAAGCTAAAAATATAACTCCCACCCATTGCCATCAGACAGATTCATAATGTAGGATATTGTTGCCTGTTTTTTTTTTTTAAAAAATCATATAATGGAAAAAAACTAGAATGACTTTTCTAGAAAGAAACTAAAGAACCACAACAACAAATGTAATGTATAAACCTTAAACAAATTGTGATTTTTATTTAAGAAAAAAACCTCCTCTAGAAAATATTTGGGAACAATTGGGGAAATTTAAGTATGGATTAGATATTAGGTGATATTTTGGAATTACTAATTTTTTAGGGGTAATAATAGTATTAGGGTTTGTGGGGCAGTGGCCTTGTTCTTGAGAGGTAAGGCTGAAAATTTTAGGAGTGAAATGCCATGATGTTTATAATTTATGTGCCAATGAACGCACACAAACATTGCAAAACTAACAAATTTTGGCTATGGGAAGTGGACATACGAGAGATTGTGTAGTATTCTTTGGATAGCTCAGCATATTGGAAATTTTCTAATGAGTAATAAAGGGGGAGGTTAAAATTTTCTGGATGCACAAACACAGGCACACTCCCTTTTGTTGTTTTCATTACATTGTGCTTCCTAGATACAGAATTTTTTTTCATTGAAGGTTTCTGGCAACCCTGCCTTGGGCAAGTCTATTGGCACTGTTTTTGTAACAGGCTCGAATGGTGGTTAGCATTTTTTAGTGATAAAGTATTTTTCATTAAGATATGTTTTAGACATATTGCTACTGCACACTTGATAGACGACAGGATATTGTAAATATCATTTTCTGTGCACTGGAAAACCAACACATTCATGTGACTCGCTTCTATGGCAATATTTGCTTTGTTGTGGAGGTCTGGAACTGAATGGCAATAACTTTGAGACGTGCCTGTGGAATACTATAACTTGAAAGCTGAACTTACAAGTTGTAACGTTCATATAGTCCGTGAATTTTTATAAAAGATTTTAAAATGTTGCAACTTGTGAATGAATAGGGCAGGTGGGCAGGTGTGAGGTAGACAGGAGGAGGTCAGGGAAGAAAAGGTGGCCTTGGTCCACGAGGGAAATGGCCAGGGTCCGATCTAGGAGAGACGTTGAAAACAAAGGGATGACAATAAGGGCTTACACGAATCATCGAGCATCAGGATTTGATTACAGGCTGTTACAAAGGAAAAGATGGTGATGAGTTGGGCTCTTCTGCGTTTCCTTGCTTCAGAAATCAGACAAATGCTCGCTCTGATTGATTCACTGGCCCCTGGGGGAGGATTGCGAGGTGAGGATGAGTAGCTACATCTTGTTTTAAGCAGCCTCATTCTCGATTGACATCAGCATAGTTTATTCCTGGATATCAGTCAGGGACGGCAGTGCTGCGTTAGAGATAGAGGGAGAGAGGACTAATGGGAAAAACACAGCGGTCAGTGAGTGGATCTAGTGATGACAGTTAGGTGCGTGAGCACAGAGGACATTTCTCTGGCATGCATATAAAGAGAAGAGAGCAGGAATAATGGAACTGGAAAGAACTATAATGTTTTTCACCTTGACAGAGTGTCAAGGAATGGGGTTGGGGGGTATCCTTCCTATCGTAGAAACTGATGTTTCATCTTTCAGAGTCCTAAAAATAATGTCTCGTTCTTAATATCATATAAAGTATTGATTTTTATGTGAATTGGACTGGGTACAGACATCATTAAATTCAAAGTATTAAAAGAATAGACATGAATAAATATATGGGGTGGCTTAGAGGAATGGGATTCTTCAATGTAAATCAAGTTCAAGTACTTGATGGGTGACAGCTCTGGCAGAGTTAGGCATTTGTGCTGCCTGGAGTAGAGAGGTCCACTGTGGATATTTGAAGACATTTTGGGGCATTTGCTCACTGCATAGGTCAAGTTAGAGCTGTGTCTCTAGTGGCTACAATTCGCAGCCACTTTCAGGGCCATCTCATGTTTTCATGTAATTAAAATTGGAATGTTCCCGTGCTAGTGTTCATCAATAAGAAGAGAGCAAATTTCAGAAAATATCCCTCTAATCTATTTTCGAACCACAGGGACGTT